GCTTGATTTAGCAAAGCTCGTTCAAACGAATATCAAGTCGAGTGAATAAATTAATTATTTATTGAATCACTGATTACGAATTAGTTGATTCAATGATTACGATTCAATGATTAGGAATGCAACTCGAATTATTACAAATGTTACAATCGTTTCTTGTTATTTTCGAGCTTAAGCTGCTTTCGCATCGTATTACATCTTTAATTGTATATATTTTAAGTAGTTGGCGAGATGAAATTGCAAACATATAAAATACTTCAAACCGATTATCGATTATCATATAATTATTTTTACAGAAAGCTTTATATGCAATAGTTCGCAGTGATTGTAAAATAACACATTGTGATTTATACTTCAACAATATTTTTAGCGACATTGCATTGAGAAATTGCGCAATATAAAAGGCCCTTCAGTCACCTCCCTCGCGTGCTCGCAAATTCTATTCGCGATTCGTTGTGCTCGAAAATTGTTTCTGTGTGTCGCGCACCTTGTACCGTTCTCTCGCGTGCGTCCCGAGAATTCACATTGTATCACAATTCCTTCGTCTACACGCGTTTCGCGAACGCGGCAAATCTACGTCGCACGAAATGATTGTCGGCAATGATCGATAGTCACTGAAACCGTTCACGAGAAACGAATTTGCAATGATTTCCGGTTTGATTTGATTTGCTACGCTCCGTTCTGTGCTCGTCGATTCTACCGGTGGATCGCCCTCGGTGCGCGATTTAAGATCGTCCGTGAAATCTTGGAGCGATCGACGATCTCGATCGGCACGCGATCGACTATCGTCGATGATCCAGCTCGTTTCGAAAGAAAGAGAGAGAGAGAAAGACAGAGAGAGTTTATCGAGATGTAGATAAATATATACTGTCGCCATTGTATATTTTTAAGCAGTTCGCCGTGGATGTGCATTCGTGTATAGGTGTAAATGTGTACGCGTGCGTGTTTAGCCAACATCGTTCGCTCATGTACCAACTGGATCGCTGCAGGATGTACTTAAGTCCCACCTAAACGATTTCTCACTTATGTACATATCTATCTGAGTATTGTTAGTCGGAACACTTTAACGTTATTCATCATTATATTTTTCTTCACATCGTTTGAACGATTATATCACTCTGTCATTCCGTACAGCTTCGTCAAAATGAGGCAGGGAGAGCGGTCCGGAAACGAGGATGTTTGACAATGTTAAAACCTTTGGCGACTGTAATTTGACATCATATGTAATTGAAATTATTTTGTTAATTACGCAAACTTTTATATATGCTTGTCGAGGTAGAATTAGTTTTACACGTTATGAAAGCAAATGAAATAAATTGGATGAAAAAATTTAATTATAATGCTGATATTATCAATTACGAAAAACGATATTAAAGTTAGAGGGAAAGTTTCGTTTCTCGATTAAACATATTACGAGATCTTTCTGAATAGATATTAATTATTCAATTATCCGTTATAAGATCGTTAAAATCTAGTAATATTTATTTGTTTGGTATATCGCGTGGCATTTTCTTCTGAGATTAATGTCATTAATATATTAAAGCGCATGTAATAGAATCTCTTTAATGACAAAACGCGAATGCAATTTGAAATTTTGAATAATACGCTATCAATCCGTAAGAAAAATGCTTGTGTATAACGGGATAAAATAAAACGAAAAATCAACGACGATAACGATAATCCGGCAAAACTTTTTCACATAAATAGAATACTGATCCGTATAATCCACGTGATACACGATAACAAGCGGATCCGCGAGTCGGTTCGTAATTAGCAGCGGTATGTAAAAGTATCGACGACGACGAATTTACGCTAATGAGGGCTCCGGAAGGCTCCCGACATCCTTCCTTCCTCTCCGTCCTTAAGAATTAATCCTTTGATTAGCTCGTTCGGGATCACAAGTTTTTTTTTCATACCCTCCGCGCCAACGATTGCGGATCGTATCGTTACAAACCTCGGGCATTGTAATCGACAACGAATTCATTATTATTTTTTTTTTTTTTCTTAAAGAACACGCTTTTCCTGGAAAGTCCAAACAGCGTTTAAATATAAACTTTGTTTTATGCTTGAATAACAGAGTATTTAATGAAAAAATCTTTTTCTAGATAGCAAAAGAATTATGTATATTATCCAACAGAATATGTAGAGTTTCGTTAATTTATCGAATGATCATCTATGACTTTATTTTTATATTGACAAATTATACAAGATTCATTTTAATAAATAGCGCGAGGAAGTAACAAATGTCCAGAAAGCGTGATACAGTTTAGGACACTCGATCATTTCAAATTACAGTCGTTGAAGGATTCGACAGCGTGAAGTCGAGCAAAGAAACTGTGCGATCCACCGAGATATAAATCATCGTCGCGGTAGGCACGGCATCGCGAATATGTCGATCGCTCTCGTAGCGCTCGATCACGATCCACGACGGATTCACCGAGGTCCTCAAGGACTCGAGGGTACGCGCGTGACTCTGTACGGAAAGCAGGGGTGGTCCAACTTGGCAGTTTTCTTTTTTTTTTTTATTTTTTGCGCGCGGTTCGTTCGCCCTCGACGCGTTTGCCTCCGTGCGTGCGTGGTCATTCGTAAGTTACGCTGCGTATTTACGCGGCTCATGCGGCTTGTACGATCCTCGGACGAATGAGCGGCCGATCGATCAATCGATCCTCTCTCGCCGATCGGCTAAATAAGCGACGCGTCGACCGCTCTCTTGTGCGCTTGTATATTTCTCGCGTGTCCAACGCATACGTCCACACATCCACAGAGTCATCCACACATACACACACAGATACACACGTACACGCATACACATACGCACCGTAGTAATACACGCGGTGTGACAATATCCGGCGGGTTTTGCGGAAATGCGGAGGAATCGCTTACGCTTTTCGAGTACGAGATAGGAGGGCTTTGTAACGGGAGAACGTGGAAAAATATATCGAACGTAGAGGGTCGATCGTGCGATCGGTGATGGCGCAAGTTTATTAGACTTCGCGCCTTGTGGGGCCCGCCTATGGAGAAACGCACGGCTGAACCACGATAATCCGGCAAAACTTTTTCACATAAATAGAATACTGATCCGTATAATCCACGTGATACACGATAACAAGCGGATCCGCGAGTCGGTTCGTAATTAGCAGCGGTATGTAAAAGTATCGACGACGACGAATTTACGCTAATGAGGGCTCCGGAAGGCTCCCGACATCCTTCCTTCCTCTCCGTCCTTAAGAATTAATCCTTTGATTAGCTCGTTCGGGATCACAAGTTTTTTTTTCATACCCTCCGCGCCAACGATTGCGGATCGTATCGTTACAAACCTCGGGCATTGTAATCGACAACGAATTCATTATTATTTTTTTTTTTTTTCTTAAAGAACACGCTTTTCCTGGAAAGTCCAAACAGCGTTTAAATATAAACTTTGTTTTATGCTTGAATAACAGAGTATTTAATGAAAAAATCTTTTTCTAGATAGCAAAAGAATTATGTATATTATCCAACAGAATATGTAGAGTTTCGTTAATTTATCGAATGATCATCTATGACTTTATTTTTATATTGACAAATTATACAAGATTCATTTTAATAAATAGCGCGAGGAAGTAACAAATGTCCAGAAAGCGTGATACAGTTTAGGACACTCGATCATTTCAAATTACAGTCGTTGAAGGATTCGACAGCGTGAAGTCGAGCAAAGAAACTGTGCGATCCACCGAGATATAAATCATCGTCGCGGTAGGCACGGCATCGCGAATATGTCGATCGCTCTCGTAGCGCTCGATCACGATCCACGACGGATTCACCGAGGTCCTCAAGGACTCGAGGGTACGCGCGTGACTCTGTACGGAAAGCAGGGGTGGTCCAACTTGGCAGTTTTCTTTTTTTTTTTTATTTTTTGCGCGCGGTTCGTTCGCCCTCGACGCGTTTGCCTCCGTGCGTGCGTGGTCATTCGTAAGTTACGCTGCGTATTTACGCGGCTCATGCGGCTTGTACGATCCTCGGACGAATGAGCGGCCGATCGATCAATCGATCCTCTCTCGCCGATCGGCTAAATAAGCGACGCGTCGACCGCTCTCTTGTGCGCTTGTATATTTCTCGCGTGTCCAACGCATACGTCCACACATCCACAGAGTCATCCACACATACACACACAGATACACACGTACACGCATACACATACGCACCGTAGTAATACACGCGGTGTGACAATATCCGGCGGGTTTTGCGGAAATGCGGAGGAATCGCTTACGCTTTTCGAGTACGAGATAGGAGGGCTTTGTAACGGGAGAACGTGGAAAAATATATCGAACGTAGAGGGTCGATCGTGCGATCGGTGATGGCGCAAGTTTATTAGACTTCGCGCCTTGTGGGGCCCGCCTATGGAGAAACGCACGGCT